TTTTATACGAGTAATTTGCAATTAAATTTGATAATTTATATATATATTGTGTATTATATATTTTATATTAAACACATAAAAAATATAATTTTAAACAATATATTAAATAAAAATATATTTTGTTATGAAATTTATACATATATTTTTGTCAAATTTTTAAATTGTATCATTTTATATATTTTTTATATAATTTTTATATCATATTATTTATAATGTTTGAATTATCAGCTTTACGTCAAGCGTAGTAAAATCAAGCATGTGAATTGCTAGATCTATGAAGAATTCAATAAATTCAAAGATTCAAAATTATTATTATAGATAAATGTGAAGTGTGTCTCATTTGTTAACTCTTATCTTTTAAAATGAATACACGTGCTATTCCATCTATAAAATTACCAAAATTCATAAATATACTATTGTTTTTGTTTGGCGTATGTGAAAGTTCATTACTTCTTATATTTGTAACCTCTTATCTCAAGAAAGCCTTTTCTCTTTCACCGTTGGGATATCAAAGTTTGGATAATTTAAAAGTTAAAACATGTTTTTATAAGAGATGAGATAACAATAATATTTTTTATTATATTTTATATTCACATAAAAATTATAATTACAATAAAAAACTTTTAAAACAAATTTATACATATTAATATTATTTTTTATATAAAAAAATTTTAAATTTTAAATCTAATAAATATCAATTTTAAAAATAATCGCACGAACCCTTTAAACGAAACTCTATCTCAGGTCGTAATATTATTTATATGTCTTCTCTTTGAATTTCAGATAGGTTAAGAAAATCTCAATTGAAAACAGTGTATTATAAGAAAAAAGGATTAGATGTGATGATCCATTAAAACACGTGAAAACCAAACATAGGGCTCCAAAAAGGATTGCTGTAGCTTGCTGCTAATTGTCAAAGTAAAAAATAACAAAAACCAAAGCCAAAATCCTGTCCACTTTCAAGGTGCGCGTGTGCATGAACATGAGAGAGAGAGAGAGAGAGAGCACTACTTTCGAACCACTTATTAATACCCACTCGTGCAAGGGTTTTAAAAAGGCTTAGGTCTAATCATTTCATTGTCATAGGATAATCTCTTTTATGGCTCTTGTCTTATCATGCCCAAAAGTGATTTTACATCTCATTTAATTACTTTCATGCCCTTTTAAATAATTTATAAAAATATTTTATATAATATTGTAATTAGAGATTACAGTACGATTTTATTACGATTCAACATATTCTTTTCTAAATTAGTAAGAATTTTTTGTATATGGAGCACTCTTTTGTATGAACGATTTAAGATTTACAATACAAGAAATTATTTTCTTGTATTATGGTATCACATCTTCTTTATCTAATTTTCTGTCTGCTTTCTGTTTAAAATCATACGTAGGAACATGTACCTATCAGTTTAGTTACTAATCATTCAATGTTTTTTTTTTTTTTTTTTTTTCTGGCATAACAATTCCTTTTTCACCAAAAACCCTAGATACTCAATTTGTATACCTGTATCGCCTTATTCCCATTCCTGCATGACACTCCAATGGAATTTCGTCGCCTATAACCACCAAACTCTTCGGTCAACAATCTAGAAATCTGTTAAATCCACGTCATTTTATAGCCATCAAACACCAAACCGTCATGTTCAGAACAATCTACGTCCCTTGCCCTTGCCAACGCCACCACGTGCTGGTTAAAGTTTTTGTCGAATTTTGGGCGTCCGCGATTGGGCTTCATTAGACAGCCCTCTGCCACAGTACTTGATTCTGTCACGTTGACCACAATGTAAGCCATTATGTCACGTTAGTCGATCGTGTACCGCCACACTAGCCTTTCTGCGTGTGTTCTTCCATGTCACCATTTTTGCCATGTGTCTTGCCTCCTGTTCTGCGGCGTTAGTTGCTATATCAGCATTTCTATAAAACCACGTTTCCTGCTAATTCGGATCTTTGGTTTCAATTCTAGCCTCTGTTGCTGCTAATTTTATTTGAAAGATAACGAAATACGAAGGTTCAAGGCCAATTCTGTCACGTCAGCGAGAATTCGTAATATTTGGATTCCCATCCATTGTCACTGTTGCATATTAAGTCGCAATGGTCTCTGTTTATATAAGTGGTGTTTTTGTCTAGGTCATGTTTCACAAAGAAACATCGTCCTTAATTTCTAATAAATGAGAGAAAAATAATAGTCTCTCCAAAACTAGGTTTTTGTGAAAAGAACTTTAGGAGTTTACGCTTGCTTACCAGGTTTTTGACCCAGTTTGAGAGAGTCTTATGAGTTTTCCGAGGCGAGTTAGGGTTTCGACTCAGATTGCAGTGAGTTCTTTTGAGTTTTCACGTCAGTAATTCAGTACTAGATATGGCGGAGGAGTTGGAAGGTAGATGGAGGTACCTAACCCTCACAGAAGAGGGAAAGGACAGCATTAATGTTGAAGAAGGAAAAAGGTTGATAGATGAGGAGGAGGAAGAAAAATGTGTGGTTGGTAAATTGCTAACTAAACGACCCTTCAATAAAGAAGCTATGGTGGGAACATTTCGAGCAATATGGAAACTAGCCAAAGAGATGCAGGTGACATGCTTGGATAATAATCTCTTTTTATTCAAGTTTGTTTAAAAAAGAGACAAAGAAAAGGTTGTCGATGGGTCTACATGGTCTTTTGACAAACACCTGCTTGTAATGGAAAACTACAACAGTGAGTTAAAGGCAAGCGAGTATGTTTTCAATCATAAAATCTTCTGGGTTGGGATATATGATCTATCACTTGGCATGATGAATAACAATATGGCAAAAAGGTTGGGAAGCAAGATTGGTGTACTTAAAAGAAAGGATGAACAACAAAGTGGCTGGGTAAGGTACCTGCGGGTTAAGGTGGAGGTGAACATCCATAAACCTTTGCGACATCTAGTTACGCTGTCGAGAGGAGATGGTCATGAAGCTATAAGAGAAAGGTTAGGGTACGAACGGCTACCAACCTTTTGTTACATTTGTGGATGGTTAGGTTATGAGGAAACCAAATGTGAATCAGAGGAGGTGAATAAAGAAGGCATTGATGGAGTTAAACAGTATGGGGATTGGCTGAGGTCATCACTAACAAAAAAGACATTTTGGATTATAGATGGAATGAGGATCGCATGAAGAAATAATTTGGCCTTGAAAAAGTTGCCATGAAGAACCATGAAGCACGAGTAGCGACGACGACGGCCAACGAAGATCCATAGAGGAGGGAAACCAAAATGATGAAATGACTAGGAAGGGCGAAAAATCAGCGACCAAGAAACTAAACATTGAAAGCAGCAATTATGAGGAGAACAATATAGGAAGTGTCAATGGCTTCAGCAAAGGTGCAATATCAGGAGAAAGTCCCTTTGACAAGTCAACTAAAGAGATGTGACATGTGGGAATAATTTGGCCAATCATAACAAGGAGGGGGATTGGGTGCTAGGATGATCATATAAACAAAGATCGTTGAGGAAATTAAAGAGGGAGTGGGACCAAAAATGGATAGTTCTTTAACGGAAATTGATGTTGCTGTTAATCGAAGTAAAGGCCCCAATTCTGAACAACAGTGAAAAAAGTATAAAACAACTTGGAAAAGAAAGGCAACACTATTAGAAATATGACTTTTATCGTTAGAATTATCGATGAAAAATTTTTGCTACTATTAAATAAGTCGGTAATACCTTTTCGTCGATAAAAGTTGATTTTCGCCAATAATTACCAATGAAAATCCATCGCTACATCCATCACTAAAAAGTCAATTTCACCAAACAAAAAATCCATAAATATTTCTTTGGTAATAGTTAATATTTTCATCGTCAATACTTACTTTTCAAATTTTTTTTTATTTTTTATAATTTTTTTATTTTATCTATTTTTTTATTAAATTTATTTTTAAAGCAATTATATAAATATTAAAATACATAAATAGAAAAAATAAATAAACAAAACATTTCATTTCATTTATAAAAGAATAATAATAATTTATAAAGTTGTTTATGAATTCTAATTAAATGAAAAATACAAAAAAATAAATCAAATAGTGCACATGGAGTCATAGCTTTGAAGCTATGAATGTTGCCACTAGTAGTTGAATATAAAAAAACAATGTTAATTCTAACACTGATCTAGAAAAAGAAACATTTAGACATAAAAATTACTTCTAAGCAGTTTTCAAAATCCCTGGCACTTCAATGATCAATCGCTCTGGTCCTCCTAAGATCGAATCTCTTGCAATTAATGCTCAACTTCCAAGGCTACCATGCAACCTGCGCTGTTGCAAACAAACAAATTTAAAATAAGCTAGATGGGAATAGGAAAAAAACTTAATGCAGCAGCAATTATGCATGTAATCCACACAATAACACAATTTTATAGATTTAAAAGGAAATGGATCTTGGTCTTCCATATGAATTATTATCATTAACAATATATAAATATAGCAATTGCAGAAGAAATTGCCTAAGTTTCTATATAAGTCACAATAAAACTATTTCATAAGCCAATGATTGGCAATATTTTGCAATTGTTTCCTTTTCATAATAGGGGTGGTGCAAGTATAAGAAAGAGGAAAAAGGTTGCGTCTGTAAACAACCCCTAGTACTCTCTAACTATTGATCAAGGTCTCATCATGCTCTTCTATCAGCCAACACCCTGAAAATATCACTACATTAGTTGTAAATCTAGCACTGGACAATGGTAAGAACTACCGAATCCTAGTTTTCAATTATTAACACTACAATAAAATATCAACTTTAGTCCATAATATGAGAATAAAGAGAATATCTTAATGTCACCACTCATCAGTATTCTTCATGAAAATTATAGGTCATCAAAGTGACTTTTTAATTCTTTGAAATATAGTGTCACTGATATATATTCCTGATGATCTCCACATCTATTTAGGGTATACATCAATTCACAATAACCTTTTTCAAGCCAAAATATTATCAAACTTATATTACTTTAAGTGTTTGTTTTGATTATAGAAGATAAAATTTGATTAGAACCTGTCACTATATGGTGTTCCATATACAAGAAGGTAAGGTATAGTTCGCACAATAGTGTCGATTAGTATTGCAATGTTCACACTAGAGGAAACTCCTGTTCCTGAAAGATGGTATGAAATCAAAAGCATATTTTGACAAATTTAGTATTAAATCAACCATTTTCTTTGCAAAAAAGAAAAATCAAGACATTTAATCATTTTTTTTCATATCACTTCTGGGAAACAAAGACTACTTATATAATTTTCTAAAGCATAATTGTTTTGGAGGATTTTAAAAATTAATGATACCTTGGATTTTATATCTCAAGATTTAAATTGCTTGTTCCATTGGTACCAAGAAAAAAAATGAGCATCTTTTACCTTTTTGAGTAAAGTTGTTGTATTAACTCCGATGACATGACAATAGGAATCCATCAATGGCCCATATGAATTGTCTGCATAGATGTAAAATTTCATAAAAGAAAAAATAATGACATCTATAATTTTCTCCAAGAAAACGATAATAAACCAACTGAATTGAAGCAAAGTTGGAAAGAACCAAACATATTAAAGACTTTTTGAGCAATTTGTTTTCTTTCTGTAAAATATAGACCACTGTGTAGCTAAATCGAGAGTAAAACGCTATTGAGTGTAAGCAAGATAACATTACTGATGTTAGCTTACAAATGAAATGCATCAATAGAAACTAAGATATTACCTGCATTAATAGCAGCATTTGTTTGAATTGCTTCTCGAATAGCCTTTCCATTTGGGAAAGGTATCTCTTTGCCTAACCCACTAACTAGCATTATTTGAATAAATTAGCTGAAAATAATCACATTTCAGACTCTTCATTCAATATTGTTTCTTTTTGGTAAGCCATCTTTTGCTCCCTGCAAAGGAACGAGACTAAGAATCTTTTTTTCTCACATTCTTGTGATAAGAAACAAGCTAAACATCCTTTTAAAATTACTATGAAAGAACCACCAAAAAGGTCTTAGTTGACAACTTAGATCTTATAATAGGGGTTCAATGAATAGAGTTAAGGGTTTTTGGTTAGAGAAAATAGTTCAAAAGCTAACATGATATTGAAAAGTTACCCTCGTCATTAGGGTGTTCTTGTATCCAAAGGGATTCCCAATGGCAAAATAGCTTTGGCCCACACGTAAATCACGAGAAATGCCAAGCAAAATAAGTTTTAGTTCAAAGCCCTCAACACCAACCTACAAATGAAATTATATTAAATTATTTCCGATCACTTCTTCATATAAAAAATCATAACATAATTCAACATTAGTAAACTAAGCACTCTCAACATTTATCATTTAATAGCCTTATCTCAATGGCCAAGATATAGAATTACAACTAATTAAAGACCTTTAAAATAGATAAATCATAAGCTGGATCAAGACCAACAATTTTCCTTTCTTTGTAAAAGCTATTTCCTCTAGCATCAACTAGAAAAACTTTTAAAAAATGGGAATCAAATTATACAATAGCCATAATACTTGGCAAAAATACAATACAGTCCATGCCTTAGTAGAATATGAGAAGTGCAATATAACAAAAAATTAGAATTATGGTTATTATGTTTAATACCAAGATCAGTAAGAGCTAAATTATTAAGAAAACCATTCTATTCTAATTGATATTTTTATCGCTTGAATACCTTAGGATGCAAATTAGAAAATTTTTTCAACCATAATTTTGTGTTTTGGCTGATTATAAGTGTTAAATGAGGTACATTATCATAACCCAGAATCTTTAATATCCCCAAAACGTTAGTTCGCTAGTCAACATAACCAAATCTTCCCAATTCAAACAAATAATACTATCAAAGAAAAATCTATTTCAAAATGGTATTCAACAAAAGAATTGAAACTATCACATTAAATATTATATATATATATATATATCAATTAATGCATTTAACACAAAATATTACAGAAAAAAATTTCTCCAAATGCGGTTAAGACCTTAAAGACTTCCAATTAGAGATTTTAATTTTGAATACTGAAAAAAAACAATGAGGTTTACGGCATGTTAGAGAGTTACACCATTGTATAATTAACTTAAGATTGTACATGAACTAAAAGTAAATATTAAACAATTAATAATTAAAGGATTAATTAAAAAATTTTACTATAAGTTTAATAAAAAATTGATGATGTTATCTTGTCAAGGATTTGTGAATATCCTTTGCATGCATGCATGCATGGTTTTTTTCTAATGATGTTTATTGTTCTTGGATATCTTGCTTTTTCCCTTTAATATGTTTGCCTATATTTTCCTCACTCTTTTGGCCATTTTCAAACACTCGACTACTTTTGTGGAATTACTTAACCATTTCAACTTTTTATGTTGCACATTTTCACGTGAAAATCATATGGATTGAGATCTTCTTTATTGCAGTTCACATATTATGGCACTTCGATTTTATAAAAAGGTGTTTTGTGAATTTATTATGATATATAAATAAAGATCTAAATTCATAATCGTAAGATTTTTTTAGGAGAAAACTTAAGATCTGGGAGTCAAAACGGATGATACTTCACAAATTAGGTACAAGTTTACATAAATGAAATCAGAATGATCATCAATCTAATAAGTGTTAAGTGCTACATTATAAAAGCCACCTCTAAAATCTTGAGAGAGATAGATGCTACAAGGTGGAAGCTATTTCTAAAATCTTAACATCTTGTGTGATTTTAGTTCAGTGTGTGATTTATTTTGGGCTTGAGGGAGACGTCAAGCTTTGATGAGGGGAGTTGATGATATCGTAATCTCATGTTGGGATATTCTAAGAATCTGTTATGATATCTAAGTAGAGACTTAAACCATACCTGTGAGACTCCTTTTGTAAAATAAAATAGTGTGACCTTTGGGTTAAAACAAAAAATAATTTGCATGCTTGGTACAGGGTCTCCATAAATGGTATCAGAGTGATCACCAGCCAGAAGAAATCCTAATGAGTTAGAATAATTGCTACATAATAAAGGCCACCTTTAAAATCTCAATGCTTGTTATGATTCTAGTCATTTTTTTATCTTGTACTTGATGGGGACATCAAATTTTAACTAGAGGAGATTATGACACTTTAATCCTATATTAACTAAATGTGAAGATATAATATGATATATATGTAAAGATTTAAACTAATAATTGTGAAGCACCTCTTATGAGATAAAATTATAAGACATTTAAGTCAACGTAGACAATACTTCGTAGATTGGGTGTTGGTTTCCATAAATGATACTTGAGTGATCACCAATTGGATCGAGAACTAAGTGTTACACCATGTGAGCCACTTCAAGAATTTCAAAAAAGCTAAGTATTATATGGTAAAAGCCACCTGTCAAATCTTAATGTTTCGTCTAATCTTGATTTTATATGTATTTTGTGTTGAGCTTGATCGAAATGTCTAGTTTTAATAGGAGGAATTTATGACACCTTAATCACACATCAAAATGTTTTAAGGTTCTATTATGAAATTTAATAAAGACTTAAATCCATATTTTTTGTAAGATAAAATCATAAGATTTTTAAATTAAAGCAAACAATATTTCACAAATTAAGTTGGATCTCCACACATATGTAGAATTTAATCATTAATTGTGAGGTTACGATATGATATATATATATGTAAAGATTTAAATTAATATTTGTGAGGTACTTTTTGTGAGATAAAATCATAAAATTTTCAAATCAAAGCAGCAATACTTCATAGATTGGGTGGGAGTCTCCACAAATAATACCAGAGTGATCACTAGTTAAACGTGAACTAAGTGTTGCATCGTAAAAGTCACTTCAAGAATTCTGATAAAGTTAAATGTTACACAATGGGAGTCACTTGTAAAATCCTAATACTTGGTCTAATCCTGGTTTTGTGTGTGTTTTGTATTAAACTTAATCGAAATGTCAAATTTTAATAGGAAAAGTTTGTGACACCCTAATCACAGATCAAAATATCTTAAGGATCTACTATGATATATAATAAAGACTTAAATTCATACTTATAAAGTATTTTTTACAAGATAAAATCATAAGATTTTTAAATTAAAATGAACAATATTTTACAAATTAAATTTGAATCTCTACACGTACATAGAATTCAATCACTAATTATGAGATTCCAAGTCTGTAAATAGCTAATGGTCAATGAAATAACAGATAAGAAGTGAATCCAAATTATTCATTAGCCACATATTTTTCCGATGAAAATAATGAGTTGAAATCTTTCTATTATCTTTTTAATGCACATTACTTTTCACATGTATGGAATTTAGTCATTAATTGTAAAAGTAGTTTTTTTTTTTTTTTAATTTACTCTATTCTTAACCTCTCAAAATTTTATCTATGTAATTGACTTAAAAAAAATTTTACGCACTTAAATGCTCTCAAATGAAAAAGGGATGCTAAAGTGGAATGCTATTGATAATGTAAGAAAATGATAAGTTTTATATATTCATGAAAAACTACCTACCAAAGAGTATCTTTTATATTTGTAAGAGAATGTGTTTGTATTAGTCACAAGAATTAGTTAAGTTGGTAAGGGAATGAACTCTCGTTCCTTATCAGAGTTTAATATTTGTAAAAAATTCTATTGAATTTAAAATTTAAAATACACAAAATCAATAAAAATGAATACGATGTTATTATTAATAAAAATTAGGTTCGAGCAAGGATATTTACTCCGCATATTACCTAACCAAGTAAAAAAAGAGTGTGTAAAAGAATTTCTCGTACGCTGTGTCTTAGACAATGACAGAAAAATAATATTATAGAATAAACACGGGTTTGAAGAAAAAAAATAGAGAAAATGAGTAGTGGAGGTGCAGATTCACAGACTGGTAGAAGCAGATGATGACGTGTCAAAGAAATAAAGACTTGTTTGAAACAAATAAAAAGTTGAATAAGATAACCCCTACCCTTGTCAAAGACAAGTTGGCAATATTTTTGTAATGTAAAGCTAGGCACTTAGTAAAATCAAATGAAAAAAAAAAAAATATATATATATATATATATATATACAGGAAGGAAATGGTAGATTAATATAACTATAGTTTTATGTGTTATGTAGCAGCCCTAATTAACTAATTAAAGAAAAAGCTCTTTCCGTTCTGTCGTTTTCTTATTTTGTTATCCCAATTGGTCTTTGTAGGCTTACCTAAATAGCTGGATTTCTAATTTTTTTTCCATAAATGCTTGAAAATAAAGAAAAAAAATTATAAGTATTAAAATTTACTAGATGTTATATTTTAAAGATAATTATATAAATTAATTTAATTAAACTCAAAAATTTTTTTCCTTTAATCTTTGTTAGAGATTTTCTATTCAGTTTGAAAAAAAAAAATTAACAGTTCAAGTGATATAACACTCACGGTAACAAGGTGTGTAAAAATAAAAAGAAATCTCCTCCCCCAGCAATTTTTAGGACGCATTCCTCTGCATAGTTTTGGTACATTTAGGATTTCTATCAAGTGCTCCTTACAAGGATTAAATCCGAGTTGATAAGAAAATGAAGCTTTTTGTTTTGTTTTTTTTTTTTTTTTTTATCATTTGAACTAATCCTTTTTGGGTAGTAAATAGAATTTATTTTGATAAACATGATAACAACTAATGCTTAATCTAATATTTGTTAACTATGGAACAGAAGATTAAAGGTCAAAGTTGGATTCTCTTCACCCTTTCCGCTTTCTAAAAAATATATAACCTCGCAAAAGCATGACCATTTCCATCTCTATCTCTTCCTCTAAAAGGGGAACAATGGACAAATAATGCAGTATTTTATCAAAACTAAGTTGTCTAATCAAAGGATTCCACTTCAAAGTCAGCCTGCTTCAAGGATCCAATGGCTTCAAATACACTTGGACTCCATATTTAGGCTTTATAGTCATGACAACGACCGGAGCATGGCGATAACTTTCAGAAATTGTGAAGCTAAACCGTGAGATCAACATGGCTAGTATGATCTTAGCTTCCATCATTGCAAAAGATTGGCCAATACAATTCCGAGAACCAGCAGCAAAGGGTATGAAATGCCGACCAGAAGCAAATGATTTTGAATTGAACCTCTCAGGATTGAATTCATTTACATCTTTTCCCCATAATTCTTCACTGTGATGTATTGCCAGCACCGGTATCCATATCGATAGACCCTTTGGAATGAAGAGGTCACGTAATTTTATGTTTTTGAAAGCCATTCGGGGCAGGACAGTAGCTGGTGGATATAGCCTCAATGATTCACTTATAACCATGTTTAGCTGCAAAATCAAACACGAGAATTCATGCAAGTTAATAAGTAACAAACTATGAAGGATGATCAAAACCATTGATGCTGATAATACATTAAGGCAATGTGAAGTCCTTTCTCTTACTCTCTTTTTGCTGCACAAGAATTCTAATTCTAATAATTATAATTAGGCCAGCGAAGCAGCTAAAAAGTTTGATAATTGGGGTTTCTTTAGCTATTCTTTTTAGCAATATAAGAGTGGTAAAGGTACAAATTCTTGAAGTGGATAGCCATGAACTAAGCTGCTCTATAGAATCTATCGTCGGGTCCAGGTGGACACTACCAAACTTCGTGCTAAATCTTTACTGGATCCCTTTTAGGCTGCTGTCTCAATGGAGAAGTTTCAATATTATTTTATGATTTTCAATTCAAACTAGATTATGCATGCTCTGAGAGATTTTGTAACCAAAGAAAATGGTTATGGCTACCACACAGCTAGAAGTAGCCAAGTAGGATCTGGTATAGGTACAAATTGGCTTTGTCCAAAATTAGCTAATGGTGGAAGAGTCAAATAAATAAAATACCCACAAAAAAAAAATCAAAATTATCCCCTCTTCCCACCAAAAGAATGGCTGAGGAGGGATAGGGACAAGGAAAAAGGTGAGGAAACTTTTTTTTTTTTCTTTTTGGCTTACCAAAGTTAGTTTGGAGAGTTGATCAGCAGGGGGAACTCCACCATTGCAGACCTGTTTCACCTCCGCTCGAACCTTTTCTTGCCAATCAGGGTCGCTGGCCAGTAACATGATAGTCCATGTAAGTAAAAGAGCCGTAGTTTCATGGCCGGCAAAGAAGAAAGTTTTGCATTCATCCATTATCAGCTGTAGGTTTAGAGTAAAATTGTCTGCTCTCTTCTTTTCCATCTCATTAAGCAGGATACCTAATAAATCCGACCCATATGAACTGCTCCGACCGATTTCTACACAATCTTTTCGGCTTTGTATAATCTCCAATAGTAATCTATCTACCTCCATCTTCAGGGACTTTATTTCCCTGTTATATTTGGTTGGAAAGAACCTGTATGAAATTAATGAAAGAAAATTATAAATATATTTTTCTTTCATACTACCCGGAAAGAATCAGGGGTCTTTTCAAAGAAGTTGAAAATCAAGGACAAGGGACAAAAATAAAGTCTAAAGCCGTTCTATTGAAATTAACTTGGAGAAAAAGATGGAATCTTGTAAAGATAAAACAAGAAAACCTGACCAAGCAAAGGGACAGAATCACAAAAATCCTACCAGGGTAATCCCAAAAAAATACTCACCGGCTACCTGGAAAGCACAGGTGCCTGCTTGCTTGAGCACAATGGTGTTGCAGAGACGTTAAAAGATGGAATATTTGCTTTCCTTTATCGTAACTGCTATCGAATTCGGTTCTTGCGATTATATCAGCAGTAAGTCTAGACATGTATTCTCCGATTTCGAACTCTGTTTTGCCTGATTCTACTGCATTTTGCAGTGATTGAAGCATATGCTTTGTGCATTCCACCATGTGCGCAGAATAACTCTGTCGAAAAACAAAAAAAGAACAATCCAATTCCAAACACTTAGAACACATAAAAACTTCAGAAAATGAAAACCTAAATGAAACTAAAACTTATCAGATTGGATTACCTTGAGCTTATCTCCCATGAATGCTGGAGCTACTATACGGCGCTGATGGTACCAATCCTGGCCGTTTGCCATTAACAAACCTCTGCCAGTAAAATGTTTTGAGCCTTGCTGTTGCAGCCATGATTTGCCTGTTACCAGATGGTGTTTGGTCATTAGTTCTTTTATCAAATCAGTATCTGTCAAACACATCCTGGGCTCAATCCCATGCCAATATATAAATCTTTTCCCTGTTAAAATTTCCAGAAAAAAAAAACATAAGCTGTTTGAAAATACCAAAATCAAAATTCCTCTTAAAGTATCTCCATTTATGGTAAAATCGTATTATATATACCATATAATTTAGACCATTTGACATAATGCGGTAATAGCCGTCCAACGATGTCATGGTCGATGGTATCCATGTCCTTGGAGGTGGATTGGGAGATTAGACTGAACATTTCGTGGATGTTTCCAGTTATTCCCCGGGGTTTGGGGCCACGCACACCTTGCTTCTCCATGATTTTCCTGATACGTCTGGGAATCAGCAGGTAACATAAGACAGTGTCAAACACAACCTTAAACACCAAGGAAATGAACAGAACCAAAAGGATCATCAGACACACCACCAGAGTAGCCATGGTGGTGATATCTGGTACTCAAGAATTAAAAATTATATAGCTTTTTTAATATCAAATCAGTGTCGAGAGAGAAAAGAGAGAGAGTACTGAAAGGAATGAAAAGGATTTTTTTTTTGCTATGTTCACTGATGCTTGTTATCGATGAAGCAGATTTATAGAGGAATGAAAAAAACAAATGAAAAATAATAATAAAGTAAAGTTGGGCTTTCTGGGTCCAAGGAATTGCAGGTAGCACATTGTTTAAGCACTAATGAAAAAAGGAGCATAAAAGGGCAAATTACTACAGTGAAATATTCAATTAAAATTCTTGAATTGGTAAGTTAGATGGGAAATGTATGCAGGAGGAGTGATGATACTTGCGAAAGTTTTACTCCTGTGGTAATTCCTCGTGGAATTAATACAAGGAAACTTTTATTGCAATTTCTTTTGGGGGTTTTCCTTTTTTTTTTTTTTTTCCATGATTTGCTCTAATTATGGCAGCTAATTAACTCTAAGACACGTTACAGGAAAAAGAATATTTTGTGACAGTTTTTTTTGTAAAAATCCTTTCTTATTTTAAATCTAGCGACGCTGCTAATTATCTATATAGCAGCATTTATGTTAAAAAAATCACTTAAAAGCCTTCATTTTGTGGCTTTTTTTTTTCTATAAAATGCTGCCATATAATTATAAAAATTTATTAAATATAAAAATATAATTTTTTAAAAAGGAAAGCACGGTACGCTAAAATTTTTAGTAGTCTTTTTTTAACAAATGTTGCTAATTTTTAGTATGTTTATAGATTTAGCGGCGTATTTGTAGTAAATGCCATTAAATTATCTTTAGTAACATAAAACTCTCTACTTTAAGTGTATTTTAATCGATTTTTAAAAGAAAATGTTGCTAAATAAGGTATTTAGTGGCATTTTTAAAAAGAAAATGCCATTAAAAATTCCCCAAAATTCACAAACCTCTTTTTTTGCCATTTTCCTTTGTTTCTCCTACCATGTTCTACATTTTTTTGGTCGATTCCTTTCATTTTCAGCCAAATTCCTTTTATTTTTCGATGAATTTCCTCTCCATTTATGGCATTGGTCTTTTTGTTTTTCATGGATCTCCTCTCCACAATCATCATGCGACTTAGTTTACACTGACTGTCTTTTCCTAACCGAACAAACCTTCCCCAGAGTCTTCCCTTACCAGCTTTTAACAGTTGCCACCCATCACCACCAAACCTTCACTTCCTTTCACCCCTACCCCTTCATTCTCCATTGGGTCCTTAACTTTCCCTCTTACACCCAAGTCGACTTAGCCTTTTAAGTCATAACTCGCCATTAACATAACCCCCCAAGAACTATGATGAATAGCTATTTCTTGGCTCAACCTAATTGAGGGAATGGGCAATGATGTTATTCGCTGATGTTGATACTCAAGTTTGTAATGTTAATATTTAAAGTGATGAAGAGAAAGATGAAGAAGATGACCCCAATGAGTCTAAGTTATGGAAAAAAAGTATCTTTTTTGACTTCCCTTATTGGAAATATTATTTATTACATCATAACCTTGATGTGATGCACATAGAGAAGCATGTTTGCAAAATTTTTATCGAGACAATACTCAATGTGAATAAAAGATCAAAGAATAACTTCAAGAGTCAACTTGACCTAGTTAACATGGGGATTCACTCTGACTTTTATCCAAAGTTGCTTCTTAATGGCAAATCCCGATTGCCTCTTGCTTGTTTTGGGATGTCTAAATGTAAGAAAGATGTTTTTTACAATGTGTTGAAAATGTGAAAGTCCTGGATGGCTATGCGTTAAATATATCAAGATGTGTAAATTTGAAGGAATGAAAACTTTCCTCATTGAAGTCACATAATTACCACATCTTGATGTAGGACTTAATTCTCATTGTTTTATGTTCATCAATATCAAAGCAAGTCACTTCAATTGTAATTTACTTAAGAAACATATTTTAAGCTTTTTGTGAGAAAGTTCTGAATGTGAAAGAACTTGACAAACTTCAAGATCAAGTCACGATCACTTTATGCTATTTAGAGAAGTTTTTTCCTCTATATTCTTCACTATTATGATATATTTGGTTATCCACCTTCCATATGAAGCAAAAGTCGATAGACTATTTTATTATTGATGGATGTATCATATTGAAAGGTATTATTTGTTAATAATTTGTTAATGTTTATGATACCATTCTAATTAAAAAGGTATATGATAAATGTTTTATGCCTTAGGTTTTTAAGAAGGTTAAAGTCTTTATTGTCACAACAAATGTTATCCGAAAGGTTCTATTACTGAAGGATATTTAGCAGAGAAATGTATGGCATTTTGCACTAGGTATTTGGAAGATGCTAAAACTAGATTTAATATACCATCAAAAAATCTTAGTATGCAGTATATTAACTTTACCTACACTTATCTTTTTGAAAGTTTTGGACAACCAATAGGTAAAGCTGAAATGATGGAGTTAGATGATAAACCTTGGGCACAAGCACATTGATATGTTTTTTTCATCATGACTCAATTGAATCATTTCGCATATAAGTTATTTGTGAGAGGAAATCATTTATTCTATTAAGCATAATTTATAAACTTTACTTCTTATTGTTAATACTTTAATTTGATACACGTAGTGAGTATAGAAACAATTTGAGAACTCGTGCACATTATTGATGATCAAACATTCGAGAGCTTGATAAATTGTTCACCAAAAAATTTCATGAATAGTTAGGAAAAATTGTAATTAATACCATACTTCCCATTTTGACAATTATACACAAAATGCTTGCAGTATAAATAAAATTAATAACATATATTTTATTCCACATTTATAGGTTTGGAGTGGAAGGCTTGTTAATTAATAAGTAAAGTATCTTTCACAAGGTCTGAATAGGATTGTGAAATAATATAAAGGGTTCATCATCAATGGATTTAGATTTCACACCAAATCTCGTGAGAGATTTAGAATAACACAAAATTCAGAAGTTGTTATTACTTCATCAACTACTAGCTATTTTAGTGCTAGGGACACAAACCCTTTGGAGGAAAATATTGACAACTATGGCATGATTAATGACATCATTGAGTTGGATTATTATGGCAAGAGAAGGTTATCTTACTTTGGTTTGATTGGGCTAATATGAATAGTGCAAAAGGTATTAAGAAAGATCAATTTTAATTGACAATCGTGAATTTTTCTCAATTAATTCATATTGGACAACAACTTATCGTTAAACCTTATTTTTTTCCTTTCAAGTTAAACAAAATTTTTATTTTAAAGACCCCAAAGAATCGGGTTGGTTTGTTGTTCTTTATAACACAACTAGGGACTTGTTTGATATGGGCTTAGATACCAGAGATGATGTTGAATATGAAATTGAATGTTTTTCTTTTGTTGATAAAAACTTGGATGAAAATATCTCTAGTACCTCTACTCAGTGGGTCCACAAAAATGTTGATGAAGACATTTATGAACCATAATGGATCATCTATATTTTGCAATTAGAATGTTCAAAACATAATGTAATAAATGCTTTTATGTAATTTATGACATTCACTTTTGTATATTTATTGTGTTGTAAATTATACATTATCTTTTAATTTAATTAAATCGATAAGTTCTTTATATATCATTGGTTATGATTTCTTAACTTCTCAATTTTTATATGTGTTCTTTAGATATGTTGTTTATATATAGTTAGTTATATATACAATGTTTGAAGTTTTCAATTTTTAACTGATATTCTTTTATAATGCAACTAAGTTACAATGCCGAGAAATAGATTGAAGGGAGTACATATCAGAGATATTAGTATAGAACCGTTTACGATACCTATTGATGTTGGCCATGGACTAAATCCTTTGAAAGGAAATGTGTCTACTGTCGATTCTAACTTAGGCACTTCTAATCCTTCAATTGATATTGGATCTAGTAATACGGGAGCTTCAAGTTTACATAATATCCCACCAATTGATTTTGCTTTTAATTTGAATGCAGTTCTCATAAACTCCGTATTTAGATTTTGATTATAATCATTAAAGTATTGGTAATTTACTAATTAACTTTTTTATTTTTTGTAGTTGATAACAATGGTCAATAGAAGACTAGAGCTAGGACAACTTTGAAGGAATTATGGATAGTACCTCCGAACAAGCATATTATAGTATTTACAAACTCTGATAGGCAACCAATTGGTGAATAGTGTCAATTACTAGTTGGATTTTTAGGAATGATTACCCGTAATGGCATGAAATTGCCTATTCATTATAAAACATGGCATAAAGTTCTAGCAAAAGTTAAAGCCGAAGCTTTAAATTTTGTTGAGATATTAGTATAATTAATTAATATTAGAAATATTAGTTATTTTAAAGTTAGTCTATAAATTGTAACTTTTCTTTTTGTATTATTACCGTCAAGATTTTTGCTTGAGCTATCTACTTCATTTGTGCTTAAGTCATTAGAAAAGCACTAGAAAAACTATAAGCATAATTTGAAGAAAAAATACTTTGATCAAAATAGTACTAGAAAGGCCATAATAGATACTCTACCCTGTGGTGTGATTAGGTGGTAATATGAGCAGTTGGTTAGATGTTGGTTCTCAAGGAAAAGAAAGGCACTAATTTATATATTTTAATATTATTTTTAATAAAAAAGGTGTTTTATGTTTTTGATTAGTAATATTTATATTTCTACTATATACGAAATTGTTTTTTATGACAAGAAAGAAAAAAAATTGGGATTGCTAGTAGAAAGCAACAAAAATATAGCCACACGAGTGGATCAAAAAGCTTTGTAAGAAAGTAAAAAGAAAAGGTAAGTAAAGCATCAAATAAAAAAGTTGTTTATATCCGTTTAGCACTTTTTGTGTCATTAAAGAGCAAAAACGTAAATATACAATTATTTTTTTGTTTTAACAATTTGGATAGCTTTAACACATCATATTAAATTTGCCTAGATGATTGAACTTAGTTTTCACAGTTTATATGTGTGAAAAAGTTACTGTTTATATCTTTTTAAGACT